CACCCTGTGCCAAACATCCCAGGCACTCAGACCAAAGACAAGAAGAAATATCAGATTGTCCAGTTCTTTCCCACACTGCTGTTCAGGAGTTTCTCACCACACACACATTGCTGGAAACTTGTTTTGCTCTCACAATGTATTAAATGGAGAGAATATTTCATATTATTCACTGTTAAAATAATGTTCCCAGAGTTAGAGTAAAACGTTATGTCACTGTTTGACATTCAGTGTTGTGACTGGTAACTTAAACTAAAACATAAAATCATTTTTGTTCATTCAAAGAAAAGAAAATATAAATATTAGACGTAAAATCTATCTATCTATCTATCTATCTATCTATCCATCCATCCATCCATCCATCCATCCATCCATCTATCTATCTATCTATCTATCTATCTATCTATCTATCTATCTATCTATCTATCTATCTATCCATCTATCCATTTATCCATCTATCTATCCATCCATCCATCCATCCATCCATCCCTGACTGCAATGAGCCACTGCTCAGTTTTTTTAATATTGTTCTCAACAGTTGAAACAACTTCCCATATTGAACAGTGTCACATAATAGACTTGTCACTTATTGACAGGAGGTCACCGTAACCAATCACATTTCATCCCTTCTGTCACCTGACTCCAAGCCTAACAATCACCTCGGAGGGAAGAAGCCGTTGCCATGGCGTCTTCAGAAGTATTGCTTTCTGACTGCGGCAGTACGGCTCTATTAGAGAATAATCAAACTGACATTTTGAATGGGCATTGATGAATAGCTCATACTCCAGCATCTAATCAATCATTCCACACCACAGCGCCGTCTGAAGACTGCAGACAAATTGGATTACGTGCCTTAGCCTGAAAACAATTAATGAGTTTCACAGCATTTCTTTGGTTTTGATTTCCCATCAAGGCAGCTTCAGAGTCTCATCTTTCTCCTGCTCTGGAGTGTCTTTGTTGTTGTGATGAGTCTGTGTTGGCTGTAGTATTGACAAAGGCACTACAAAAATCAAACAACTTTCTCATGTACTCAGTTAAAACGAGATGACATACTGCCCTGCATGTTTATTAGGAGTCTCTCTGTCGTTAATGAAGGACGTGTTTTAAAGTGATGAAAAATCCAGACACAAATTCACTGCTTATACGTTTCACTGGCTGTGTTTACACTCACCTTATAATGCAATGAAGTTAAAGCTCATGCAAACCCAATACTGTGATTATGTTAATACATACATGCTTACAATCAGAGTATCCTGAAAACAGCACTGCGGTATAAACCATAGCAACGGCAGTCTTTTGTGAGTGACGGCAAGTCTCTGCCTCTCGTTTTGTTCTGGGAAATGACAGAAAGGTCAAATCGTTTTTCTCACCCTTCAATCAACTGAAAATACTTGGCAAGCGAGAATATCACAAATACACAGTGGGGTTCTCCACTGTCAGAATTTAATTTGAGGTAATAGCGTGTAGGCAACACACTTACAGGCTGTGTTTCAACACCTAGTGAGCTACGTATGTAGGCAGCATTTTAGGGCGCACAACTCAAAGTGTGAATATGTAGGCATTTAATTATAATGCTTTCTAAGACAGTTCCCTGCTCACACACTCTTAAAAGGAAAGATTCCAGATGTAGGTTTTTGCAGTGATGCATTTTTGTTTCCCCAAAGAACCAATCTTTTTCTTAGCGTAAAGAACATGTTCATAATCTAAAGCACATTTCTTCACTATAAAGAACCTTTTGTGCAAGGGAAAGGTTCCATGGATGTTAAAAGTGTTTCATGGAACCATCAATGCCAATAATGAACCTTTATTTTTAAGATTTTAATGCATTGTGGCAGGCTTTTTTCCCCAAAAAAATTAATTAATTAATAATAATAATAATAATAATAATAATATATATTAAATATTCAAAATTACAGATAATTTCAGAGTATTTAAAAATAGATTTACCTAATATTTGCGTATATTATGCAAATGTACACACACACACACACACACACTTCTAGTTATACACTTTTTAATCTAAATCCACCCCTACCCCTAACCGAAAACTTTCTGCATTTTTACAATTTCAAAAGAACCGTTTACTTTATTTTCATACCAGTTTTACAAACGAGGACGTCCCCAAATAGAGGTTTTTGGTGATTTTGTCAGGTTTTGCTCACTTTTGGGTACAAATGTGTCCCCAAATTATGGTTAAGTAGGCACGCGCACACACACACACACACACACACACACACGCACGCATGCACGCACACACACACACACACACATCACTTTGCATCTTTGATCCGAGCCTCTTGTTGGCTCATCACGTTTTCCTCCTCGGATCAAAGCGCACTTTGAGAGACTTGGACAGAGTCCATCGCACATAAACAGTCGATAAGCATTTCCAGCACTTACTCTGCTCTCCAGAATGAAGTGCTTCAACCAATCTCTATCAAATCAGGACGACTTCTCGCTCTAAAGCTGCTAACGAGTACTTTATGTACTATAATGTGATTATTAAAGGCCCGTTCACACCAAGAACGATAACTAGCCTATGTTTTAATAATGGTTCAAATTCTGTGAGAACAGTGAAGCTCAAATCATTGCAGGGGTGTCAAACTCAATTCCTGGAGGGCCGGAGCCCTGCAGAGTTTAGATTCAACCCTAATTAAACACACCTGATCCAACTAATCAAGTCTTTCAGGCTTGTTTGAAAACTACATGTGTGTTGGAGCAAAACTCTGCAGGGCCCCGGGCCTCCAGGAATTGAGTTTGACACCCCTGACATAGCATGGCATTCAAACATTGAAGAAACTCAACCTAAAACACTCAAAACGATTTTTTAAATATGTTACTATGGTAACAGGCGAGTTCAGTATTCTCAACTGAGGTCGATAAAAACAATATTTGGCTTTCTGGCGTGCAGAGAGATGATTTGGCATTCATATTGAAATTCAGTCGGCTCGTTCTCTGAAGAAGAAAAAAAATACAGAGCAAAACAAGGGATGCAAAACAGAAAACATGAAAATGCAGCAACAGAATCTGACAGATTGCTATGCGTGCAATATAATGTTTTCTTCAGAAGATGAGAATCTCCTGCTGCTTTCATCTGATGACTGCACATTCTGGACATTCAGTAAGACTACATTTAAAACAGGACTGTCCTCAGTTTCTCTTGCTCCAAGGCCACATATACTGATCATTGCAAAGAGTCATTTGATTTGAACAAAAAATACAGTTCACAAGGCTTTTAATGACACGCTGTATTTCTGACATAAACAGGATGTTCAATGAGAAAGCAGAATGAGTCTGGATTTTATTCATTAGGAATTATGGAAAAAAATAAAAGGGGAAGTCGGCCTATATATATATATATATAGTGTAAATGGGGTATATTTTTGATTTCGTGTTGACTTCACCTGCCACCAAAGGAAAACTCGGTAACACTTTACTTGAAGGGGTGTGCATAAGACTGACATGACACCTTCATAATCATGACATGACACATGTCATGAATATGAAAGAGGTTTTATGCATGTTTATGACAACTGTCATTAAGTGTCATTCGCTCAGTTATGTAATTTTTAATGCAAATATGACATTTGACCTAAACCTAACCTAACCCTACCCCTACCCTTACCCCTAACCATAGCCCATAACAAAGACATCTCAAACAATGTCATCTTTGCATAAAAATTACATAACTGAGTGAATGACACTTAATGACAGTTGTCATAAACATGCATAAAAACCCTTCATATTGTCATGTCATGATTATGAAGGTGTCATGTCAGTCTTATGCACACCCCTTCAAGTAAAGTGTAACCGAAAAGAAGCATGTTGCCATGGAAGAAATTTTATGCATGATAATTTTTTCAATTATAATGTTCCACAATTTGCTAAGTACACAAAACCTCACAGGTCACTCTTGTGGCTTGAGTGTTGTGAAGTTGTGTAAACTGTACAAATACTGGACACAATCAGTCTGAGGTCATACATCCGTCTGAGAACGTTACAGATTTAATCATTTTAACCATCATGATGTTATTCTACACAATTTCTGCAAAACTTTCTTTTATATCTTTGCCTATTGGCAACATGATTTTATGAATGCACGGTTTAAATTATTTTAAATTATTAAAACCAAGGATATTCCACGTTAAATGAGAGACTTAAGCTCTATCAACATTTATAGCACACTCAATTTCTTGTAAAGTTCGTATTTTTGTTTTAAGAATTTATAAGAATGTGTCAGTTAAAAAGGCATGCCAATGCTGTCATTAGATCTCAAGTTGTATTTCCTTTAAAGCTGCCGGGTCTTGCTTGTGTTTGAAGTTCTGCTGGATGCTTAAAAAAGAAATAAAAAGTCATTAACATTCATGGTGCTCGATATTGCAAGCGGTCACACTTTTCAAACAGGGCTCGTTTCAGCATCATTTCCTTTGGAATGTCATTTTGAGTATTAAGTGAACAGAAAAAAAAATATCTGCAAACAATTGGCAGGCCTAAAATCTACATGACATGAGTGACATCCTTTTACTTGGAAATCTTGCTTATTTTAAACACCAAGAACTCTGACAGATTACCTGAGATATAATTTTAACCCATAAAACGTCTGAAATTTCACCAGATTAGGCAAAAAAATACATGTTGAAATTAATATTTTATATATCATTGAGAAATATATAGTTTGAAATAATTAGGATTTTTGAGAAGTCTCTTATGCTCATCCAGGCTGCATTTATTTGATAAAAATAAATAAATAATAATATTGTGAAATGCGATTACAATTAAAAAAAAATTGTAAAATGTATTCCTATGATGCAAAGCTGGATTTTTAGTAGCCATTCAGTATCATTCTTATATGCTGATTTGAATTTATTTGAAATGGGAATCTTTTGTAACATTATAAATGACTTCACTGTCACTTTTGATCAATTTAATGCATCCTAGTATTACTTTATAAGGAATTCTCAAATTCAGTCTCTTGTTCACACAATAAAAACACAACTCATTAATTCACATATAATAACCTGGGCTTTATTGTCTGATTCATGTTTGAATTGTCACATCTTTTTTCACTTATTCAATAATATCTCTTTTTTTATATTTTCCATATTTTTTCTTTTTTGCCTCCATCCAGATCAGACTAGAAAAGCCCTGGAGGAGGATGATTCAGTTCAGCCAGTGGATTTGGCATCGGAGATCCGAGCTCCGGGCAAGTGTGTACCGCAGGACCGCGGTCTTGAGCCAGAGCATCCTCTTCACGGAAGAGACTGAGCAGGACATTCCCAAAGGAAGGCACAACCTTTAACTTGTGGGTTTTTTTCAGGCCTTGAAGTAGTCCAGAGTATGCTGGTTCGATGCGTTTAGAGAAGGCCAAAGAGATAACGTTCATTTGGCATCAACCTCTTTTGATCCTTCTTGGTCTTGAATGTCATTAAACCGGAATGACGACTCAGATGGGCGCATATTGGCCGCTGCGCGTGACGTTTAGCAACAAAGAATGAAGTCTTCCGCTAACGCTTCACCACAAGAACTGAAAAACCCCCCCAAAACGAACAGAATGATAGAAATGCAAAACAAGATACAAAAATAACTATAATATAAAAATGGGGACAAACCCAACTGTTTCCATCGCATGAAAAAGGAACTGAATTTATACAAAAAGCAGCAATAAATCAACTAAAAAACAAACAAACAAAAAAAACGATAGTGCTTAGTTGACCGGAAGCATTGGAAGCTCACAAAATGAAGACTTCATCCCTTGTTTGTCTTTTTGTTATTTTTGGGATGATAAAAAATGGAAGATTCCTATAACCACCTCCTTAAATTTGCCTTCCCATTAACCCCTGCAACTAAAGGGCGTCGAACCCCAACATGTCCCATTCCTCCCAGAAGAGGAGGGGAAAATAAAATAAAATAAAACTGAATTTTTTTTTTTGCGTGATTCCATTAACGTTCAATCTGATTCACAGAGTGAATCAGTCAAACTTGAAAATGGGGAAATTTAGGAATTGCCAGCTACCTAAACACTTAGAACACCACAGGAAACAACTGAGGGACACAGTGTACGAAATAAAAGAAAATAACCAACATAAAAAAAAACAATAATTGTAAACACAGCACAATAAATAGGTAGAACAGCAGGTTTCCTCACCATGCACATGACTCTTCACACACACCCCCTCATTCGCTTTTTACTCTTTTGGACTCCCCAAGTGCAAAACATCAACTCAACAGTTCTGTATTCAAGTAGCATATATACAAGGTGGTGGTGGGCTTTTACAAATATGTAGTTTCTGTACATCGAATATTAGCCATAATCATAATTTACACATCTTTTCTTAACAGAAACAAAGTATAAAAAATAAAAAAAAAAATGGAAAAAGGGGCGAAAATAAAGCGATTCAATTTCCTGTCACGTTCAGACAGAACCGGAAACCAGAACCAGACAGTCGGAAACCCGCTGTCCTTTTGCTTCTCCGAACCCAATTGGTGCACAGCACCAGAAGACTGGATTGGGCGGGAAAAAGAACGACGCCCAGGCTGCGGTCACTACGTCACCTCCATGGCCACTGTGTTCTCTGCTATACTGTTGAGGGACTGCTTTTCCTGCTCGTGATTCTCCCTGTAAACAAACAGGAAACGGATCAATAACCTGATAAACAAGCCAATAAAAAGTGACTAATGTACGTGCGCAACTAATGCAATGTTTCCAACATTTCACATCCATGCAATCACGATAGAGCAGAAAAGCAACCACAGAACTTTAGATTTTTGTGAACAATGAGCTTTTAAATTTTTTTTCAATTAGCAGATTTATCATTTTTAATGCATTATTTTTCATTTTGATGTGGGGTCAAAACTAGTTTTTCATGCTTTAAAAAGGCACAATATGTAAGATTTTTTGTTATTAAAATATCCAAAAACCACTAGAACAGTGTTATATATTTTGCTGACTTGTGTACTTACATTATCCCAAATGTTTCGAAGGATGTTTAAATCCAGAGAAATAAGCAATTTTAATTAGTGACACAGACTGTGTCCATAGTGTCAGTGTGTCGCCTGCCAATGACGTCATAACCCCTCGATTTCCAGTTTTGTTTTGTAGAAAACATGGAAACACCAAAGACGCTTTAATATGTTGTGCGTTTTAATAGACCGGTGATGAGTAGCATTATAACAGAACTTTCAAATGTATCTAGTATGATAAATAGGGTTGGGTATCGTTTAAATTTGATCGATTCCGATTCTGATTCTGCTTATCGATTCCAATAAGATAAAAAATCCAATATAAAAAAAATGAAGTCAAACATTTATTCTGTCTTTTTACAAAGCATTCTGTTGCAGCTGAATAACACGAGCAAAAATCAGCAGCCTACAGAACACTGCAAGAGGAATTTTGCCTATGCTTTAAAAAAAAATACCGCAGCAAAAACAACTAGATTAATATAAATTTCAAATATTAAAGTGTTAAAGACAAGTAAACAGTCAGTAATACGATAGGAACAAACAAATCAATTAGCAATATCATAAATACAACTGAACAACATTTCCGGTACAGAAACTGTAATTAAAAGTTTAAAAACACTGCAGTTTTCTTTTCATAAATAAAATAAAGATTAATCAAAGTTATTAAATGTATTGAGTCAAGATCAGTGAATGATTTTCTTTTGTTCTTTGATTAACATTAATGACAGGCAGGCTGCTGTCTCTTTAACACCGAACGCACGCAGATCTAAAAATACTGTATGTGTGTATTTTCTTTCTCATCCGTTTACGTTCACGTAAGACAAAAACGGCGGTGTTTATGATGATATACTGATGTAGTTTTCTGCATACTGGTCGACAAATATGAAAGAAGTCAGTTTCGGCCCGGAACAACCTTTTCTACAGTAGAAATACACAGAACGAGAACGGACACAAACCGGGAACCCGTACCGCGACCTCTGTTCTCTGTGCTCGCGCTTCGTGTGCGCTGCACGCAAACAGGGCGCAAATTCTTTCCGTTCCTGCACTAAACAAAGTCTTTTTTAAGACCTGTATAATTGTTGTAACAAATATTCGTAAAATTTTTGCAAAAAAACAACTATACTGCTATTATTTGCTAAAAATAAATAAATAAACAAATGCCAGGGTTGTCACTGTTTTGATAAATATAGAAAATGAAATAAAAAAATATTTGATGTTAGTATTTGCTAAACATAGTAAAAATATGCAAAAAAAGGCTGGATTGTTACTTTCATAAAGATTTAGAAACAAAATATTAGCAAAAAACAATGTAACAATGCTAGTCACTGCTTACTAAAAAGCAAAAAATTTAAAAAAGCTTGATTGTCACTTAAATATTTGCAAATATAAAATTATGCTGGACTGTTACTGTTATAAATATTATTAGCAAACAAAATAGTTCAGGATGAAAAAAAACAAAAAACATACTGGATTATTACTGTTTGCCAAATATAATTCCAAACAAATATTTCCATTACCATTATAACCATTATAAAAAAAACAACAAAGTTGCTGGATTGTTACCGTTTTCTAAATATAGTAAAACATATGTAAAAAACAAAACAAAAAAAAAAAACATGTAATGTAATTCTTTACCCAGTGTTGACTTTGGGGAGCTGACGGTTGCTGGCGGCAGCGAGCTTCAAGGCAGCGGGTGGCACATTGCTGAGACTTCTGGGAAGGTGACGGGCATTCAGACTGACGATAGAGGGTGTGGTGACGCTGAGACGTAGGTTGTTGCTGATCAGGACCTGAGAGGTGGAGTTGGCTGTGTTGTTACTGTGGTTACCTAAAGGGTTGTGGACCGTGTGGGTGGAGCTTGTGTTGGAGTTGCTAGTGGAGGACAGGAAGGCGGGCGGGGCAGCGGTCGGTGTTGGTTGGCTAGTGAGGACCGAAGCAGAGGATGTGGCAGAGATGCTCAATCCCTTGTAAACTCCTGTAAAACAAACAATAATTAGTTGGAAACTATATTATTACAGGATGAGCAAATGCAAAAGATTTAGCTTGTCCAGAACACAAACCTGAAGCTTGGACGACTCCGTTGACTCCACCTCCTACGCCGTCCTCTTTGACCTTTAGGGTCAAAAGCTGGTCAGAGGTCACGAGTGCAGAGGCAGCAAACTGGGCACTGACTGAGTCCAACGTCTTGGACACAAGAGACTGAGGACACAGCAGGAGAGTGTTACACAAGCCATCACACTTCCTGACATGAGCGACACTTGTGTCTCTCCGTTACACACCTGACTCGAGCCTGTATCATTGGCCTGTTGTTGTATCTGCTCCAGCTGCTGTTTCTGCATAAGGGCCAACTGTTCTTGATGCTGCTGATACTGCTCAGCAGTCAACGCTGAAACACAAAACCGGAATATTATACTATCTATATTATATTATCTTACATGCAGAATCACAATTTCACAGCATTTCTTGTTCAATGAAAGAGACTAGAAATCTTAAACACCACAATAAAACATTTGCAACAGAGTTGACTGTGGGTGTGTTATGCATCAGGTATACAGAAATGCTTTTTTCAAAGTTGGTGAAAGTCACTATATTTTGATGAAATCTTACAAAATCATTTGTTTAGAATAGCATGCACTGATTCATTGCACACAGGGTCTATTTGAGGGTTCTTTACATTCAAACTAGCAAAGAATAAAACATTCTCAAAACAAGAATAAACCAATCAAATCAATATTTTCTCTCAATGTAATGTGGACCATTTTAGTTTAACAGCATGACAGAGGTTTCTCATCAAAAAGAGTTACAAGTGAGCTGCAGCCATGTAGATGATATTAAAAACTGGAGCTGATCACTGGACCGATACGCAAATATAAAACAGGAGAATACACTGCATCATTTGCATACGCTGTGCTCTCGTCGTCATCTGAACGGGTTTTATTTAATGCTGGACACGTTTAATGAGGTTTTATGAAAAGCTGCAGCTGTGCTTCTGGTGATTTGCTTCTCTTGGTTTATTGTTTTCCTTTGACAGCGACAAGCCAACTGTCGCATGCAATTTGTCCTCATTTAAATATTTTGTAATGTAAAATTAGTCACTGGTCAAGTGTTGGCAGACAATTAATAGAGTTGGGAAACTGAGAATCAGTTGCATTTAACAAAATACTGAAATCAAATGGTTTAAATGTTCTGCAAAAAGCTCAGTAATGTTTTTGCATCAATGTGAATGCAAGAATCCTAAAAGCCAGTGCGCCACTTACGATGCTTCCTCCAAGAGCTTTTAAGAAATGTAGACTGTCGGCCTGCTAATTTCCAAATTGTTGGTCTAAGCCAGAGGTGCCTAAAACACAAAATCATCACGGGCCAACTTTGGCCCACAGGTTTGGGCATCTCTGGTATATAACTTCAGTTTTTTTATGGTGACTGAGTCCAACGTCTTGGACACAAGAGACTGAGGACACAGCAGGAGAGTGTTACACAAGCCATCACACTTCCTGACATGAGCGACACTTGTGTCTCTCCGTTACACACCTGACTCGAGCCTGTATCATTGGCCTGTTGTTGTATCTGCTCCAGCTGCTGTTTCTGCATAAGGGCCAACTGTTCTTGATGCTGCTGATACTGCTCAGCAGTCAACGCTGAAACACAAAACCGGAATATTATACTATCTATATTATATTATCTTACATGCAGAATCACAATTTCACAGCATTTCTTGTTCAATGAAAGAGACTAGAAATCTTAAACACCACAATAAAACATTTGCAACAGAGTTGACTGTGGGTGTGTTATGCATCAGGTATACAGAAATGCTTTTTTCAAAGTTGGTGAAAGTCACTATATTCTGATGAAATCTTACAAAAACATTTGTTTAGAATAGCATGCACTGATTCATTGCACACAGGGTCTATTTTAGGGTTCTTTACATTCAAACTAGCAAAGAATAAAACATTCTCAAAACAAGAATAAACCAATCAAATCAATATATTCTCTCAATGTAATGTGGACTATTTTAGTTTAACAGCATGACAGAGGTTTCTCATCAAAAAGAGCACAAGTGAGCTGCAGCCATGTAGATGATATTAAAAACTGGAGCTGATCACTGGACCGATACGCAAATATAAAACAGGAGAATACACTGCATCATTTGCATACGCTGTGCTCTCGTCGTCATCTGAACGGGTTTTATTTAATGCTGGACGCGTTTACTGAGGTTTTATGAAAAGCTGCAGCTGTGCTTCTGGTGATTTGCTTCTCTTGGTTTATTGTTTTCCTTTGACAGCGACAAGCCAACTGTCGCATGCAATTTGTCCTCATCTAAATATTTTGTAATGTAAAATTAGTCACTGGTCAAGTGTTGGCAGACAATTAATAGAGTTGGGAAACTGAGAATCAGTTGCATTTAACAAAATACTGAAATCAAATGGTTTAAATAATGTTCTGCAAAAAGCTCAGTAATGTTTTTGCATCAATGTGAATGCAAGAATCCTAAAAGCCAGTGCGCCACTTACGATGCTTCCTCCGAGAGCTTTTAAGAAATTTAGACTGTCGGCCTGCTAATTTCCAAATTGTTGGTCTAAGCCAGAGGTGCCTAAAACACAAAATCATCACGGGCCAACTTTGGCCCACAGGTTTGGGCATCTCTGGTATATAACTTCAGTTTTTTTATGGACCCTCACATACGTGTAAAAATCTATACTTTGGCCTTAAGCCATGTGGGTTTTCAGTAGCACATGCCTGATTTAAGCAAAAGCAATAAATGATAAATGCTAACAATTTAATTATAACAAAGGAAATAAACAGAAAACGTATGAAATTAAACTAGATTAAAAAACTAAACTAAATTTCAAATACAATATTAAAAAAACTAAACAAAATACAATGTAATAACTAGATATTATTTAAAAATACAATAATATAATACAAAAAAAGAAAATGTGTATTACCCATCGAAACAGCCACTATGTCACTTACTATTCAAAATCCAAACAGACATTTTTGGCTATTGTGCTTCATCACAGTATTCCATCCATGTCGCAAAACCAAGAGCGAGGAGTTTTTAAAAAGTTAAACTCTTTAACATCTCAAAACCCTTGCACTGTTCCAATGTGTACAGCAGACAATCATAAACCGGAGGAATTACACAGGGCTTCCTTAAAACCTTCCCCATGTCATTTAAACATCCTACCGAGTAGTTATTTTTGAAAACGTAGTTTGTGCACCCCTACAGAAAAGGGCACTGCCAGTGAAGGGGTCCAAAATATCAGTATCGCTGCAGCAAACACTGAGTCAATTATAATAACCGTCAATCATTCCATGTTTATTTCCAGACTTCATTGACAACGCCGAATTAAACATCAGCAAGCAAACAGATCCAGTACTTCGCATGCACACTAGCGTGAGTCCACTCACCTACTGGTGGTCCCGCGCCTGCTGTTCTGCCCAGCGTACTGCCACCCGGCCCTGCGCCGCCCCTCACCAACCCCCTAAACAATCTCCGTGACAGCACATCCCCTGCGCCTGATTGGCTGGTTAGTGTCCGTGGTTTAAAGTGCCTCCAGCGGCAAGCTTTGATGTTTCGGAGGATCTGCCTCAGGTCTGAATACGTGGTATGAGAGGAAGAAGAGGATGAGGTAACGGTCTGGGAAGTGGTTTCCGGATGGAGAGGAGAAGCAGGGAAGGAGAAGTCCGGCTCTGACTCTGAGTCCAGACTTTGGAATAAACCATTTAAATTCGAATAGGCCCGGTCCAGAAGTAACCTGAGGAACCGATTAAATAGGATCAAGTAAACAGGCAATACGATTCAAGTCGTCAGTCAGAACGAGACCGAATGACATATGGACTTGACTCACCTGCCGCCCCGTCCTACCCGTCGCCGTGCCAACCCGACACAGCGGCGGGGAATGGTGAGAGTGGTGAGGGAGTACCGAAATCGCGGGTCACATGACTCTCCGTCTGTTTCACCAGACCAGGGCCAGTCGCCGCTGTGATCCAAACGGGGCTGCAGGAACAGAAACCACATGAGAATGTGACCGAGAAAATGGAAAATGAAGGGAAAAGTACAGAGGAAAGGGTAAATGAAATGAATTACAGGGAATAAAGGATTGGGACTCGGTGAAAGGATTGTATACTTATTTGTCAATCATACAAAAAAAATTAAATATTGACATCTTAAAGTATAGCAGCAAAAACAGCTTCTAAAAGTTTTGAAACAGAGCTGTAGAGTCTACGTGGTTGTAATGCACATTGGGATATGCTGTGGTGTAGAACAATAGTGGAGAGGAAAGAGGATGTGGAACAGAAGAAGTGCAAGGTATGAGATATGTCAGCACTCGACACCTACAGCGTGATAAACACATCCTGCTTTTCGCCTGAAGGCAAACGCTCCATCGGGCTCGTTCTCTTCCTCGGCCTCTGATGACCCAGAATGTATCTGCACAACAGCAACAGGAAGTCTTTTATGCACTGATTGCATGAACAATGAAGTCCACAAACTAACACTATATAGCCACATTTATTTAAATGTGAAGTGTGCAATTTCTGTGCACTACTTTTAAAAAATTTTTTTTTGAAAGAAATTAATTCTATTCAGAATAAGTTACACTAAACTGATCAAAAGTGACAGTAAAGACATTTATAATGTTAAGTTGTAATGCACATTGGGATATGCTGTGGTGTAGAACAATAGTGGAGAGGAAAGAGGATGTGGAACAGAAGAAGTGCAAGGTATGAGATATGTCAGCACTCGACACCTACAGCGTGATAAACACATCCTGCTTTTCGCCTGAAGGCAAACGCTCCATCGGGCTCGTTCTCTTCCTCGGCCTCTGATGACCCAGAATGTATCTGCACAACAGCAACAGGAAGTCTTTTATGCACTGATTGCATGAACAATGAAGTCCACAAACTAACACTATATAGCCACATTTATTTAAATGTGAAGTGTGCAATTTCTGTGCACTACTTTTTCAAATGTTTGGGGTCAGTAAGTTTTTTTTTTTTTTTTGAAAGAAATTAATTCTATTCAGAATAAGTTACACTAAACTGATCAGAAGTGACAGTAAAGACATTTATAATGTTAAAATACCTCAATTACAAAGATTTTAAACACTGTTCTTTTGAACTTTATATCCATTAAAAAAATCCTGAAAAACTAAGTTTCAAAAAGTATTTTTCTGCAAAAAATATTAAGCAACTCAACTGTTCCAACATTGATGATGATAATAAGAAATGCTTCTTGAGCAGGATCATGTGACATTGAAGACTGGAGTAATGATGTTGAAAATTCAGCTTTACCATCACCGGAATAAATTTGTTTAAAATATCCAAATAGAAAACAGTTATTTTAAAATGTAATAACATTTCACAATATTACTATTTTTACTGTATTTTGATCAAATAAATACAGCCTTGGCAATCATGAGAGACTTCTTTATAAAATAAATAAATAAATATATATAATTAAATTAAGCCATTGATTAAACCAGTTTAGGTGCTAAAGTAATTAAACACTTTGCCTTTAAACAGTGATTATACCCAGTCAAGCAAATGCTCTGCGTGTCTACCTGTGAAAAGGGCTCGTCATCAGAGCTGGGGAAGTCGTACTGGTTGAGGTCTTTGGGGTTAAACACGGAGGGGCCAGTATGCAATGGGGCGGAGAGAGGCAGGATTTTGGGCCTTTTCTCGTACTTCCTCTTTGTTCTGACCACCTCTGTCTTTTCAGGCTGAAAGATAGAGATACATATAATTATACATACCATATTTTCTGGAATACAAGTCATCTGAAATGTGCTGTGCAAATTTAATGCGTGCATACAAAGCGGACACATTTGGATTCGAACCCTCGGATAGTTTGTCGTTTCACTTTAAATAAATCTGTTTAGGTTTGGCGTTTATAATAAATGATGCTTATAATGAAGGCAACTATAATTTGTTTGTTTTACACTTATATTCCTGAATTCAAAACTAAAATGTGACTTATACGTTGATGAAACATACATGATTTTTATTTCGATCAACAATGCAATTTTGAACCAGTGCGATTTATTTTCCAGAAAATATGGTACATTCACAACCCATTTTACCGCCACAGTCTGAGAGATTGATGATGTCAGTGGAAAAAGCAAAGTTATTGTATTTTGGCAAAAGAATAATATCATGCACCGATGAATTGTTCTCAATAAGATCAGGAAGGATCATTAGGAGGGTCAATTGTGATTTCATGATGATATGATGTACCCACCTTGGCCTTGTAGTCTTTGAAGTCTATGTGGTCCTGGTGGAGGTACTGACTGCTGCTGGAGAAGGGTATTATGGGAATCTTGTAAACAGGTTTTGCCATAGCTAGTGCTTCTGCCATCACCTCTAAACCAAAGTCTGGCATGGCATTCCTGAAATTAAAGAGATGAGATTTTTGAGGAGGATGCAACTGGTCTTTACATAAGTTTTTTTCTTTTTTTGGGATTTCACTGAGAGGTATCTTTATGTATACACATACAAATTACCCAACATATCTCAGTGATTAAAGATGACGGATGAATAATGGTTTGGTCCCGTGGCCTTCATGAACAAACAAGGTGAACCATAATTGCTCATTTAGCCATATAAAACAAGCCCCTTAATTAGGGTATGCAATGATGCCTAAGCCAATTAAAAATACATGACCAGTTCCCATTATACGTATACTATACGCGCACACAGTAAAACGCAATTACGAGAATTCTGGAGTCAAGCAGTTTAGGTATATTAAAATGCAAAGCAAAGTTAAGCAGTGTCTTGTATATTTATTATAAACACATGCAAATACCCCACTGATAAAAACACTGCTGAGAGTGATTCTACATACCTCTTCTCCACAATCTCCAGTGTGAGATGAAGCAGTTCTCGTTTGCTCTTTTCTCGTTTCTTGATCATCTCCAGGACGGTGACGGCTCGACTCAGATCCCTTCTTAGTTTGAGCATCTTCTCATAGGACGCCTCGTCATTCTTACGGTTCTGGGGAACCATGAACAATACCATTAGCATTTGGCCTCATAAAAAATTGTTTAAATTATGTTTAACAGGTAATTTTTTTAATAATCAAGTTATTGCCACCATTTCTGAAGCTAATGATTAGGAATTATACTCAATGTTCTACAACAATATTATGGTATATCTCAAGATTTTGTTTTAGTTGAAAATGTGTGTAAAAAAATGAATAAAAATAATAATTATATATATATATATATAAGTCCAGCAAAATCTACTACATGGCCCTGTGTGAAAAAGTGTTTGCCCCCTAAACCTAATAACTGGTCGGGCCACCCTTAGCAGCAACAACTGCAATCAAGCGTTTGCGATAACTTGCAATGTGTCTGTTACAGCGCTGTGGAGGAATTTTGGTCCACTCATCTATGCAGAATTGTTGTAATTCAGCCACATTGGAGGGTTTTCGAGCATGAACCACCTTTTTAAGGTCATGCCACAGCATCTCAATAGGATTCAGGTCAGGACTTTGACTAGGCCACTCCAAAGTCTTCATTTTGTTTTTCTTCAGCCATTCAGAGGTGGACTTGCTGGTGTGTTTTGGATCATTGTCCTGCTGCAGAACCCAAGTTCGCTTCAGCTTGAGGTCACGAACAGATGGCCGGACATTCTCCTTCAGGATTTTTTGGTAAACAGCAGAATTCATGGTTCCATTTATCACAGCAAGTCTTCCAGGTCCTGAAGCAGCAAAACAGCCCCAGACCATCACACTACCACCACCATATTTTACTGTTGGTATGATGTTCTTTTTCTGAAATGCAGTGTTACTTTTACGCCAGACGTAATGGGACACACACCTTCCAAAAAGTTCAACTTTTGTCTCATCAGTCCACAGAGTATTTTCCCAAAAGTCTGGGGGATCATCAAGATGTTTTCTGGCAAAACTGAGACAAGCCTTTATGTTCTTTTTGC